ATTGGTATTAAATGGCATACGGCATGTGAATTATTTGACACACAGGAGGGGAGAGGGCTCCAGAAATAATAGCCTCCATCCTCTTCTTTCTTTTCTAATTAGGTACCTCCATCATCCCTTATCAGCCCCAGGTGTCATCAGTGACATTTTCACTGTACTTTGGGCCCATTAAAGGCCTTCCCTGCCACTGTGAACACTGTCTCTTGTTTGCCGACATTAGTGGGTCCCAGAGGCAGCTGTATTAGAATGTAAGAAAGGAATTAAAAGTATTTGGATGTTGGGGCGCCTGGGTGGCTCAGCCGGTTAAACATCTGCCTTCGGCTCAGGTCATGATCGCAGGGTCCTGGAATGGAGCCCCACATTGGGCTCCCTGCTCTGCGGGGAATCTGTTTCTCCCTCTCCCTCTGCCTGCCACTTCCCCGCTTGTTCTCTCTCTCTCTGCCAGATAATAAATAAAATCTTAAAAAAAAAAAGTAGCTGGATGGTACTCCCATGTTCATAGCAGCATCACTCACAATGGCTAAAACGTGGAAGCAGCCCAAGTGTTCATCAAGAGATGGATAGGCAAAATGTGGTATATACATGTAATGGAATATTATTCAGCCTTTAAAAAGGAGGAAATTCTGACATATGCTACGATATGGATGAACCTTAAGAATATTATGCTAAATGAAATAAGCCCATCATAAAAAGATAAATATTGTATAATTCTACTTCTGAGGTACTCAGAGTACTCAAAATTGTAGAGACAGAAGGTAGAATAGTGGTTGCCAGAAGCTGGGGAGAGGGAATACAAAGTTGTTTAATGCACATAGAATTTCAGTTTTACAAGATGAAAAATAGTTATGGGGGCGCCTGGGTGGCTCAGTCGGTTAAGCGTTTGCCTTTGGCTCAGGTCATGATCTCAGGGTCCTGGGATCGAGCCGTGCATCAGGCTCCCTGCCGAGCAGGGAGCCTGCTTCTCCCTCTCCCTCTGCAGGTCCCCCAGCTTGTGCTCTCTTGCTCTCTGTCAAATATATAAAATCTTAAAAAAAAAAAAGATGAAAAATAGTTATGGAGATGGATCGTGGTGATGTTTACACATTACAAAAGTAATTAATACCACTGAACCATACACTTAAAAATGGTTAAGATGGTAAATTTTACCACAATAAAAAAGAAACTAGAAAAATAAGTTCTTTGTACTAACAGTTGACTAAACCTGACCACTTCCAGCCTCAATGTGAGACTTAATCGCATAATTACAACTCGGGGCATCAAGTTCTTGCTATGGTTCCAAATAAAATGCTATCTGAAAAGTCCTTGTCAGATCCTTCTATGTTCCATAATGTGACACAAAGGAGCAACTTGTGCAGCTCCACCACCCTCCATTTGATAAAGACAACAAGAATTCTGGCTGTCTCCCTGACATCACCAGTAATGGCACAGATGGCTGGACCTCAGAGGGATCTATGGAACCATGCCAGGCCCACTCACAGTCTGACTTGTGCATGTGCTCAGTAGTATTTGCATGAAAATGAACTTTACTTCCCACAGCAATTCCCCATATAAAACAAAAAAATTTTCTGAAGATTCAAAGGACATTCTAACTGGATTCTATAAGGCTAGTTCTACAACACTGCAGGAATGCAAAGTCTAGGACAAATTGGGAAACTGCAAATAAAAGTTTACAAATCTCCCCCACCCAAGAAAATGCTTTGTTATACTTTTTTGTACTTAAAATACTGAGCCATCTCAAAATCATTTTCCGTCCAATACCCAAAATCAACTGGTCTGAAGGCATTCTGAGATGAGTACTATAAGATGTGGTACAAATAATGATTCTTAAAAAACATTTACAGCAGGGGTGCCTGGGTGGCTCAGCCAGTTAAGCGTCTGCCTTTGGCTCAGGCCATGATCCCAGGGTCCTGGGATCGAGCCCTACATCGGGCTCCCTGCTCGGCGGAGAGCCTGCTTCTCCCTCTCCCTCTGCCTGCCGCTCTGCCTATCTGTGCTCTCTATCTCTCTGTCAAATAAATAAAATCTTAAAAAAAACAAACAAACAGCATTTACAGCAATAAAACTCAAATGCACCAGAAGCTGGGGAGGGGGAGTGGTAGAAATAGGGAGTTGTTCAATGGGTACAGAGTTTTAGTTTTGCAAGATAAAAAAGTCCTAGTGTAAATATAGTTAACATCACTGAACATACACTTAAAAATGGTTAAGAGGGTAAGTTTTATATTATGTGTTTTTATCACTACAATTAAAAACAAACAGTCACAGGGGGACCTTGGTGGCGCAGTTGGTTAAGCTTCCGACTCTTGGTTAAGCGTCCAACTCTTGGTTTCAGCTCAGGTTGTGATCTCTGGGTCTTGAGATCAAGCCCCACCTCCAGCTCCAAACTAGGCAGGGTCTGCTTAAGACTCTCTCCCTCTTCCTCTAACCCTCCCTCCCACCATGTGCTCTCACGCAGGCACTCTCTCTCAAGTAAATAAATAAATCTTAAAAAAAAAAAAAAAGTCACAGAAGTTAGTGCCCTAGCAGTCATACTGATGCAAAAATATTTCAAATCAACTAACTTCTACTGTCCAATACTAATCCCTAAAATTCCTTTTGTCCCAACTAAATAAATAAATAAAATGGACACATCTCGCTGGTAGGACATGGAAGCTTCTCTAACTACAATAAAGCTGAAGGAGCATGTTAAGGAAATAAGAAAGAAGACAATACAAATACTAAGCAATGGTAGAAATACAAAGCAGACTATTTAAATCCAATCTGTGTCATCCCCATCTGCAATCCAGCCTAAGTCTCTAAGTAAAACTGTATAGAGACTTCTCCTTATTCCAAAAATAAAGAAAAACTCCTCAACCTCCTTACAAGGCCCACCACACCTCTCCAACCCCCTCTCCCACCAGATTCTTCAACACTCTTCCTGATCTCTACACAGAGCTGTACCCTAAATCCCCAGTCCTCCCCATGAACCCCATCTTTGCCCTTGCTGTTTGCTCTGACTGGAACACTCTTCCTTTCCTGTGCATCCTTCAGATCTTAGTTCAAATGTCTTTCCAGTGACTTCCCTTAAATCAAATAGTGTCACTGTTGCAGTTTTACATTCATGTGATTATTTGGTATCCTCTGCTGAAGACAGGGGCCAGAGATGCATTTGCTCTCCCCTTCCATTTCCAAGGCCAAACACGGTGTACCCAATAAGCAGTCAAATATCTGTTGAACAAGTGAATAAATGGGCACTAAACCTATAAGAAAGCAATGAAACATCCTAAGAGGTTTCCTTAATGAATCTTTGGAGGATGTCCAAAGCAATTAAGCCTAAAATCCCTATTCAACTCTTAAGGAAAAAAAAAAAAATCTCTCTGGCCCTTCTATGTCCCTAGGCAAATGCTGAGCATCGAAGGCTGGTAAGTAAAACACACAAATACACACACACATCGTAGATAAAGCAGAATTACTACTTGCTGAGCAAACTGTTTTTGGCATTTCTTGATACAATGCCTGCTACATAGGGGGCACTCTGGAATACCTGTCAAATGAATAAAGAGCAACATTTCACAAGACTGGTAAGTATATATGAACTAGTAACTAACTCTATTGAAGACTGTGGTGACTCATATAAAAGTAAGACCATCACAGAAGCAAAGGAATGAATCTCTTAAGTGGGAAAGCCCCCTACTATAAGCCATATTTATTTAGATCTCAAACAGGAAAAATGCCAGATTTGTACTAAGAGTGAAAGAAATAGATACTGCCATCAAGTAACCGTAGAGCTTTAAAGAAAAACTACAAAATGTCACTTGGAACTATTTCCCAAAACCCTTAAGAACGTAAGAAACTATTTAGGATTCCCTGTCCCCTCCAACACAAATACAAACTATCTATACTTTAGAGATATAATCCATAAACATAATACAGAAAACTCCAGCCCACACTGATCTCTCCTCCCTCTGATTTTGCCTTTATACAAATGCTGCTTTATAGTTTTCCCAATAATTTAATCTATACACTCTTATTTTATACCCTTTCACATAATAATAACACTGTGGGTGCTTATTAAATACTTACTGAACTGATATGAAATTATACTGCGTTAAATAATGGATTTTGGTATAGAAATTCCTGCAAATGTCATTCCTGAAAATTTTTCATATGCCTCAGTTTTAGCTCCATCATTAGATTAAATATAAAGTCGTTATCCAACAATGTTCAAACAAGGTTTAGGGTTTTCTTAGTACCACATCTACAAACTCAATTAAGGGAGGTTTTCAGTGTCATGGTATCTTTTCAAATGTAAGCCAAAGATATTAACAACACCTGTCCTACTTCAACTTAGCAAATTTCTCTTGAAATTTTTCCCAAACTTAATCAGTCCCAGGGAGAGTTCCTTCTGTAGAAAATTGGAAGACACAAAATCTAAGCTACATGATACTAACCGCACATCGCTAAAAACAGAAAACCTAATCCCCGGAAAAGGATCAGTTTAAAATGTTCAATTACATGAGTTTCCACGGTCAACAAAGCAGATAAAATACACCACTTTGGAAAGCGCAAAGCAGCAGGCAAACAGCAAGTATTCGAGTTTAGTGGCTGCTGTTCAAGGCTCCTCAAACGCTCCATCCCTGCCAGTCCCAAGCATCTGTATCAGGACCCATGAGAACGCGTCCACAGGGGACCCGAGCCTCGGGAAGCGTCCTCTCTACAGCAACAGGCACTGTTTAATTCGGATATTCCTATCCGCGCCCCTAAGGGGGCTACAAGGGAGGGCCGGCGGGGCCGGGCGCGAGGAGCCGAGCCTGGCAGGCCGGGTCGGCGGAGAGCTGGGGGCTTGTGGTGGGCAGGGGCGACGCCGGAGCCGGGCAGCGGTGCCAGAAGTGGAGGGCGCTCGCCCGGGGCCCCTGCCGCAGGTGCCCCGCCAAGAGCTGCGGAGACCCGGCAGGCCAGCCCCGGGGCCGGTCCAGGAAAGGGGTCGAGGTGAGGCGCGCGGGACGGGGGCGAGGAGGCCTCACCGTTGCTCCCCGGAGGCTGGCGCCGCGGCGGTCCCGCAGTTGCTAAGGAGAATGCTCTTCCGGGTCAGGGGCGCGGCGGCATAGAGACCAACGGTGGCCGGAAGGGGCCAAGAGCGACGCGCGCAGCGAGAGCGCGGCGGAGGCGGTGGTCGGCGGTTGTTCGGCTGCAGGGGGTGGGGCGGCTGGCAGGGGCTGGCGAAGGGCCAACGCGACTACTCGGGCCTCGCCTCGCGGGGGCGATGGGCTGTAACCGGTGGCTCCAGCGAGGCCACCTCTTAGAAGCCTTCCCGCCCGACCCCGGCCGCCTCAGTCCCCTGCTCCGGACCCCGCCCAGCTCGGGTTCTAGGCCCCCGGCTGTAGCCACGCCGGCCCCTTCCTGGGTCAGGGTTTTACTCGTTCTTTCATTTAGTAGACGCTCGGTTGTTGGACACCTGCTAGCAGGGCTGGCCCTGGAGATGCAGAGAGGGGCGATCCAGCCGTGGTCCCTGCCCTCAGAATGCACAGACTGATGGGAGGGCAGGCAGAGGGGTGCTGCTTACCCGGGTGGGCTAAGTAAAGGCCGTGGGGCCTACCCAGACACGGGTGGGGAAAAGCCGGTGGTGGAGACTTCAAGCAAGTAAAAGAGTAGGGAGGAGTGTTTCAGGTAAGAAAGAAAGTAGGCTCGGTTGAGAAACCCACTGAAAGGTCAGTGTGGCCTGCCCAGGGAAGTGGGTAGAGAAGGATGGAACCTAAGAAAACATCAACATTGTGGTGTGAGCAAAGGAAAAGGAACCTCCAAAGAGCAGTCAGAATGTTCGGTTGAAGGACTGCTGAGAATACAGCAGGAGAGGAAAGAATTCCAGCAAGGACGTGGTCACCGTGTCATGATGCGGCCATCAAGTGCCCAGTGGTGACCATAAAAAATCAAAATTCAGGAATATGGTGTCAATATCGACAGTCAATATTGAATCTATGTAGTGAAGGAGTCCACCACCATATGCTCCATATTCAAACAAGGAAAAGAGATACCTTAAATTGTTCCTGAATGCCTTAATGTTTTTGAAAGTATTTGTAAATTTCAGGATTCCTCTACTAATACCTCTACTAATTCTTTTTTTTTTTTTTTTAAGATTTCTTTATTTTAGGGACACCTGGGTGGGTGGCTCAGTCCATTAAGCATCTGCCTTCAGCTCAGGTCATGATCCCAGGGTTCTGGGATCGAGTCCCACCCACATCAGCCTCCTCTACCTGCTGCTGCCCATGCTTGGGCTTTCTCTCTCTCTCTCTGACAAATAAATAAAATCTTTAAAAAATAATAAAATAAAGGTTTCTTTATTTTAGAGAGGGAGAGAGTATGTGTGCAGGTGGGGGACAGAAGGAGAGGAAGAGAATCTCAAGCAGACTTCCTGCTAAGCCTGGAGCCCAGCACTGGGCTCAATTCCATGACCCTGAGACCATGACCTGAGCTTGAAATCAAGAGTCAAATGCTTAACGACTGAACCACCCAGGCACCCCTCTACTAATTCTTGAATGTGGAAAATAATTTATCTTGCATCTACGGTGCTTTCCTCACACAAAGGCCTCAATCGATGTTTGTTTAAAGAATAAATGAACCCATGAGACTTTTTTTTTTTAAAGGTTTATTTGAGAGAGGGAGAGAGAACGTGAATGGAGGGGGTAGAGGGGGTTAGAGGGAGAATGAGAGAGAATCCTCAAGCAGACCCCCGCGCCACCCGCTGAGCATGGAGCCTGACCCAGGACTTGATCCCAGGACTCTGAGATCATGACCTCAGCCAAAATCAAGAGTTGGAAGCTTAACCAACTGAACCACCCAGGCGTCCTGAGCCTTTGGTTTTTAATGTTCACACAGGTCAGAATCCTCCACGAAACTGTGATGTAGGCAAAACTTGTCTATTCAAACTGTAGATGAGATGGAAGAAGCCCAGCAGGGGCAGGACGCAGAAGATGGCAAAGGTACAGTGATCCAATGGGTGGGAGAGGACCCAATGGAGCCAGGGTGGGAAGACCCAGAAAAGGAAAAGAACAAAGGATTAATAACATAAAAACTGGGGTTTCAGAGCCAGAAATGGAAGATGAAGCCAAGAAAACCAAAAATATTAGAAGCAGGAACAGATGAGCAAGGACAAGAGCAAAGGAAAGACAATTACTGTACGTAAGTTCAACAGGAAAATCTCATATGGGGACGGCTGACAGAAAGTTTGGTGTCAGCCAGTGTGAAGGCTTCAGGGCTGAGTGGACGTGTTCCCATGTCATCTAAGTAGAGTGAGCTCTGGGCTTCCTCGTGTGGGCCGAAGGAAAACCACAACTGTAGAGCCACACTGTAGAGTGACTTGGGGTGAGAGGCTTGCCCCACAAGCATACCTCCAGTCCAGAACTAGTACATTCCCATTATATCCAGTTATTACAACAAGCTCGTCCAGAAGAGGCATAGTCTTCTCCAAGACACTGTAAATCTATCCACAATGGATGTAACCAGCCATCTGTGGGAGTAAACCAAGAAATTCGAAATGTGCGGCTGAAAAGTTTAAAACACCCAAAATATCAGCCTAGGTATAACATAAGCAAGGCAGGACCAGAAAATGGTTACAATTTGATAAAAGGAAGCTAAATCAATTGTTCTGTGAACAGAAGGGACAAAGTCAACTTGTAATATAGACAAAAAGAAGCCCCAAATCCTTAAAGTACAATAGATAAAGTCTATCCCGCATGTTCCTGGCAGCCTTGAATAGAGCATCAATTCTAAAGAACCGTGTTCTGTTGAAGGGCCAAAGTGATTCATTAGGCTCGACTTGGCTGCGGTTCCAGGAGATTTCAATGGTACCTCAAGAGATGGAAACTTATCATTGCTGTGAAGAGCATATTTTTAGAGAACTGCAGAGAGTTGTGGGTGAACTTTGTACTTCCAGGATGGTGTGGGCATGAAAGGTTCCAGATGATGCGCTTTGCCTGACTTCGGTCTCTGGATAATGGATAGCCAATTAATGATGCAAAATGCTTTGAGGGATGCCCAGAATATAAACAGAGGACCAGGGTTACCATGCCCTGTTGGTATAAACAGTGAGCCATCTGCTACCTCCAGAAGAATTCCATTTTGGCATTGGGAGGGAGTGTGTCTATTATGAAATTCAAGCCTTCCTGGGAATTTAAGGATTATAGACAGCTATAGTGCCCCAGAGTTTTCCAGGTCCAACCTGACCCTGATTCGTAACCACCACCACCCCCAACTCGGTGTTCTCCTATATTAACATTACCCGGTCACAGAGGCAGAAACCCAGACACCTAGGAGACATCCGTGACTCCTCCACTCCCCACCCCTCCACCACACCCTCACCCTTACAGCCCAGTCCAAGAACAAGTCCTGTAGATTGTCTCATTCCCCCCAACCCAATCCCACTACTACAATTACATTGAAAGGAGCCAATAACCAAGCAAATCAGGTTCAGTAGGAAGTGTTAGAACATCAAAATTGAACCTGGATAAAGACAGTGTGTGTGAGAGAGAGAAACAGCATAGTAACCAAATGCCACAAGAACTTCAAGGAAATACAATGGAACAAATCCATTCAACAACAACATGTTTGATTGCCTTTCACATGTGAATTCCATCTTGAAGGAAGTAAAAGATAACAAAAGGACTATTAAATATGTTGAAGAAAAACTAAGGTAGAATTGAACATATTCCAAGAACCAAAGTGAAGGAGTGTTTGCTGGCCTAGGGGTATGACTTTGGAAGGACCCAGTCAGCTGTGGGATGGAGTCAAGTGCCATAAGCCTCATCTTTACGTGTGCAGGCTGATAGTGCTGCCGGCTGAGTGTTATGGGTGAGCAGAAAATATGTCTCATCATCGCCATATCAATTGATCTTGGCCTCCTCAATTCCAGCAATTAGCCCCACCCAGACCACTATTTCCCACTTGCAATTCTTGTCTGATTAGAGTTGTTTTTGTTCTTGTCTCACTTTAAACTTAGTTTTTTTTTAAACTTAGTTTTTCTTTTCCCTCTATCTTTATGAGTATTATTTTTCTCTTAGCTTTTTAAATATAAATCCTTCTAGATCCTTCACAACTTTTGCCTCCTAGATCTTAGCCCTTATTTTAATTTCTCTTTTACCTTCTAGCTCCTATTTAAAATCTCGTCTTTTTGAATACTTCTAACTGCTCATTTTATTTTATCAGGATCTATCAACATGTTATTCTTAATTTTTTAGATTTATTTTTTTTATTTTCTAGTTCTTTGCTCTTTTGTTTCTTTTATTTTCTATTTAACATATGCTACTTCAAGTATGAATTTTAGAAACTTCTCATTTACAATGTTATCCTTTCTAAGTTTTTATTCCCACATCTTTGGCTTTAAATTTGCCTTAATTTTTATTTTTTTAATTTTTTTAAAAGATTTTATTTATTTATTTGAGAGAGAGAATGATAGAGAGAGAGAGAGCACAAGAGTGGGGAGCGTCAGAGGGAGAAGCAGACTCCCTGCTGAGCAGGGAGCCCGATGTGGGACTCGATCCCGGGACTCCAGGATCATGACCTGAGCCGAAGGCAGTTGTTTAACCAACTGAGCCACCCAGGCGCCCCTAATTTTTATTTTTTAACTTTATCTCTCATCCTCCCATTTTGATCTTCTCTTCCTCTGATCCTCCATCTTTTTCCTAATTTTGAGCTCTTTTAATCACAGATACACCTCAGCAGCTGTAAATGGCATCTAATAATTACTACATTTTAAAAAAGAAAGAATGGGGCGCCTGGGTGGCTCAGTTGGTTAAGCGACTGCCTTCGGCTCAGGTCATGATCCTGGAGACCCCGGATGGAGTCCCGCATCGGGCTCCCTGCTCGGCAGGGAGTCTCCTTCTCCCTCTGACCCTCCCCCCTCTCATGTACTCTCTCTCTCTCTCATTCTCACTCTCTCAAAATAAATAATAAATAAATCTTTAAAAAAAATTAAAATAAAATAAAAAAAAGAAAGAATGGCCCTCGCTTAGGCAGCACATATACTAAAATTGGAACAATACAGAGATTAGCATGGCCCCAGCACAAGGATGACATGCAAATTCGTGAAGGGGTCCATATTTTTCTAAGACTAATGAATCACAGACCTGAACCCCTGAAACAAATAATACATTATATGTTAATAAGAAAGAAAAGGGAGGGAGGGAGGAAGGAAGGAAGG